ACTAAAAATTTTTATATTGAAGATGTGCAGATATCAATATATATAATAAGTATAATTTCTTTTACTAAATAATATGATTTTACTAAATATGTAATACGATCTTACTAAATACGATTTTATTGTCCTATTCGAAACAAAAACTTATGCTTTTATTTTTAAAATACAATTACATAAACAATTACATAAATTGCAGAGAACATGTAAGAATAATTTAAATTCAGACATTCATTCAGTTTTCGACATAAATTAATGAGTGATTACTACAGTGTTTACTAAATATGCATATCGCTCGACATAATTCGACATATTTCGACATAAATTAATGAGTGATTACTACAATGTTTACTAAAAATGCATATCGCTCTTTGCAATTAAATATTTCTACGAAACGCATTTACTGATATGCATATCTGCATATTTGTACGGTTAAATATTTCTGCGCACAACGTTTCCTATATACATTTTTTTAAAAGAAATATTTATACAATTTAAATGTATATTTTACTGTGTTCAAAAATTTGTTCTGCATTTTTATTGATTAATTATTTATCTTACGTAATAATGTTCCCAGATTTCGTTTCACATTGGTATGTTTTCTGAGGGTCAATCGGTGAGTCAAAAGGTTTCTTGCGCGTTATGTACTTGTCTTATGTATACTTGGCACTACTTCAGCCGTGGCTGCAAACTGCCGCGATCGTAATCCATAACCGAGTATCTATTCCCAAGGAACCACAGACCCCACGTGAAATCCGATGCGATACGTGCAACACTCCTGGACAAAGTATACCTTTGCGCTCCCTCGCTTCGAGGAAGGAGAAGTCCGTCGTTGAAACGTGCACCCGCTTTCTTCAACTTACAAGTGTGCAATCCGGTCGATTGTTTAAAACGGATTCTTAACTAATATCGAGGACGAACATTTATAGCAAACATGAAAATTCCTACTGTTTTCATCTTTGCTTTTTAATTATCTGTAAATTAATTAGGAAACTTTGTCGCATTGTGTAGTCCAAACTTTTCTTCGTGTAATTAAGCGGCAAAGGAAATTAAAAATTGTCATAATGTCTCTTCCAGAAATTCGAGTTTCGTCTTTCTCAAAAATAATTATGGTCTACGAGAAAAGATTATACTGAATTGAATAAACTTTTTGGTAAGCTTTTCTTAAATTGTTTGTCAAATTGTTGTCTTTTAACTTTGGATATTTTATTTTTAATTAAAATATTAGTTTAAAAGCATTATTTTATTCTCCATTATCTGAATTTAATGTTATTAAATTTTGATTAAAAAATTTTTAGAGAGGGAACATATAATCCCTCTTATTTTAGAATACTCCAATTTTAATATCCCGACGCAATTTCTTTCAAGTAATATAAAAAAAGAACGTTGCATCAGAGGCACTTGTACGTATTAATCTGTACAAGGCTAAATACATACAGCTTTTTTCGTGTGCAGTAGCATCGTGGCAAGTCATCGTGTATACACATACACACGTATGTACTGCATTGCATTATCGTACGCACGTCGCGCGGCTCCGTATGTGCCCGATATAAAAATCCGTTCGCCGGCACATAAGAGTGGCGTCGGCTTTGAATTTTTTTGCTTCTGCCCCCTGGCTACCGGCGCGGCTGCTCTCCCGGGCGCGCTCTGATGGAAACGATCGCGATCCAGAGGCCAAGGAGAAAACCGAACCAGCTTAAACTCTTTCTCGGCCCCCGCCCGCCCCCGTTTGTCTGCGCAGCGTTTCGTCGTGCTGACATCGTTTTCGCGGCCTTCCATACCCGGTTCCTACGCCGCCTCTTCCTTCTCGCTTTAACCCTTCCTTTACGGTGGTAGCCGCTCCTTAGGTGAAACCGCGTATCTGGAATTTCTAGCGGCGATCCGTGCGCGATTTTACGGTAAATCGTTGCAACAGCGTGTCTTCGAATTCGATAACAATATCATTTAACAATGATATTCCTCCAATCGATCTTAGATTAGAGATATTAAAAACTAAATTAAATTAAATTAAAAAACTAAATTACATATAGTTTGCTCCCCTTTGCATCGAGATCGCCAGAATTTCGAATCGCTTGTAACGTCGGAACGATCATTATTCTTCTTATATTGCCTCGGAGAAAGTGCCTCCTCGCGACTTCTGAGACAGGCTATATAAACCTGGCCAATATCATAAAACTCATAAAATGATTCACGGCGAGCGCTCGTTCATCACGTCGTACATCGTCGAGTTACATTGCCTCGGGACGTTACTTTCCGCTTCAGTGTCACGTTGGATTACATCTTCCGTACATCCGCATCAGGCATGTTTCCTCTCTCTCTCCTCCTCCTCCGGCGACGTAGACGTCCACCTCGGCGGAGGGAATTTTATACTCGAGACGCGTTCGATGATATTAATTATCTCCTCGTTCTCAACGCGCATTACTGAAATTTGTTATCGTCGCCGGTAATCAAATACTCCGCACGGGATCTGTAATGAGAGGCCTCTGGCTTGTCTGTACACGAAGGGAGAACGCTGGCAGTTTCGTTCTCCTCTTTCTGTTTTTACCGCCGTCTGTGACATTCGCAAAATAAGGCATTTCTAATAATTCGCGGTTACAATATTGGGACTGGATCGGCGCCGCGGGATTCTCTCTTCGAGCGAATTATACGCGGTTATAAAGAGCTTTCGTTACGACCATTATTATTAGCTCGACATTATTCGCGCATTATTTCCATATTTATGAAATCTAACAAACTGTGTCGAATTTCGCGGCATCAATGAGAAATGTGTTCTTGTGAAAAAAAAAAAGATTATAAACCTAACGTATAAAAATAACGGACACGAATTTCCTGTTGAATTAAATTAATTTGACAGAAATCTTAATGGACTTTGCAAATTTTATTTCAATCGGGATAGGATCATGTCAAGCGATTTCAATTAACGGAATCTGTTTATAAATGAGCTTCATTAACAAAGAAAGCGAAAACGCCTTGAAATTCGAAGATTGAAGGACAAATTTTCTTAACTAACTGTAAAATTTGATGACAGATATAGCGGAAAAAAGTAAGAGAGAAGGCGAAATCTCTTATGATCAAGAACCTCGTTTGAGGTATACAGTGTTCGATTCCGGGTCTCATTTGAGTAGAACGGCCTTGAAGAGATCCGATACGCGATACACCACTCAGAATCGAGGTCACTTTTGGAATTGGTCGTGTAAATTGTATTTAATATGCAATACCCTGATAATTCGCTCGATAATAAGAATTAATGCGCACTTTCTGTACATTCTGTGCCAAAAACAATTATCACTT